ATTTGGAGTTAGTTAAGCTGCCCGGCTTGCATGGAGGGAATCATTGGCTAGTGGGCCACCACGTGGTTATCAATTTAAAAAAAAAACTAAATATCTCTGTAAAATAATTATTTTTGCAAACTTGATTTAACACTCATAAATTCCAATTCACCGGTCCAAAAGGTGGAATCGCCCACCCCAGGCGCCCCCACCCCCTTGCCCGACAGGAATGGTGGAGGATGTAAATCATGGTGACTCAGTCGGCCAAGAACGCTAGACCCGTGCCCACCGCGCACAAGGAGCCTCCTCATCCTTTATGGGATTTTTGGATAGCTCCCACACTGCCGCTTGCGGGATTCGATCCCTGGTCATCGGTCCAAGATTTCACGCTCTTGACCAACTGAGCTGCCCATGCGGGCTCATAAATTCCAATTCATAACTTTATCTTGATTTAACACTCTCGAATTATATTTTGTGTGCTAGATGGACACTGTCCTCCATATGAAAGCTTTTTATCATTGAAGGAAAAAACAATTTCTATCGTTCTTGCATCGAAAATTAAAGAAAAAAAATAATTTATATATAATCAATTGAGTTGAATTAAGTAATCGATAGAATCAATCTTTTAATATATGTCAATCCAAATGTCTTCTGACCCAATTCAGTTATGTTTTCTCCATCCTAAATTCTAACATTGTATCAGTACCATTTTAACCTCATCTCATTTGTTAAAATGTCTGTCTAGAAGTTTATGTCTAGCGACCCAATAGTGTTTAGCCAGATGTCCGTGTGGAAAACGGTATGTGGCCCAAAAAACTCGATTATTCATCTATAAAGCTCATACTTAACGACTTGTGACCCTTTAAGAGTTATCACTTAATTTTGAATCTTTCATTTATGATTGACCACTTGAGAGAGAGTGTTAAAGTATCTTACATCAAAAATTGAAGAGAAAAATAATAGTATATGAGCTTCTAAGTAATCGATTGAAATCAATCTTTTAATATGGTTGAGCTCAATTATTTTAGAACTGAGTCCAATGATTCCTATTCCATCTAAAATTATATCAATCGCGTTTGAACGGTTCTTTAATGTTTGAAATTAACACATTTTCTTAGCAATCAATCATATAATTGCAAATTCAAAGAATAAAAACATATAGGGAGTATGTGTTTGTTTACAAATAGGTTGCAAAATGCAAGCTACGGATTATAGGGATGTAATTTAGATTTTAAAGAAACTTGTTAAAAACCGAGTATTTTATCTTTAGTAGCCACTCTATTTTGTAATTTTCTTCTTAATTTGACTTGACACGATTTTTTTTATATATATGGTTGCAATTTTTCGAAATAAAAAGATTTGGACCACGTTATCTTTAAAAAAAAGACAAAAAAATAAAAACAATCCTAATATATATCATAAGTCACACTCCGTAACAATATTCACTTCTCTAATACCCAGAGACCTACCACTAAAAATGTGTTACAGTTTTTTGTTGTATTTTTATTTTTTATTGGGAGCAAACTTTAATTTTGATAAACCTTTCCAAGCGATTGAGTCCCTAGGCTCAAATTCTTCTATAATTCTTAAATTCATACTTATTTAATGGACTTTCACGGATAAAATAATTTTATGTAATGAGTCTTGTATATATTAAGAAATCCAACTGTGAGTCCATGAAAAATATGTGAGAAGGTACACATTTTACACGTCAATGAACTTTATGACCATAATAGAATAACTCTTGACATGGGCCTTTAATTCCACCACCACCCACCTATATTGCTTAAGTAGATCCGTAAATGGTTAAAAGTTCGGATGAACATTTTCTTACTATTTATATAAGCTTCTGTTTTTTTAAATAAAAAAATTAAAAAAATTTATAAATCCACAAAAATAATATCCACCCAATGTATACCAAAGAAGCACTCTAAAAATAAATCTAAAATTTGTTATCATAGCATAATTAAATGTGATAATTTTGATCTCTAGGAAGCTAGCATATCTTCCGCCAAAAATATGGAAAATTAAATCATTTCCCTTTCAATAAAGACTTCATTTGGTTGATTTCCAAAATCATTTTCCATCCACTCCAATTTTCCAAAAGCAATATGCTTCCGTGTCCTTGTAAAAATAATAAATTACGCTTGAATTAATGAGAGAGAAATACAAAGTATATTTTTATAAATGGAAGAATACATTCTAGAATTCTCCACATTAATAGCTATTTATATAAGGTAATATTATATAATAAATATCTAACTATAATAGGTAACAAGCATAATTATAATACTCCCTCCGTCCCTAAATAGATTACAATTTTTTTCTCTCTTCTCGATAACTTTTGTTCGTTTACGTGATTTCATTAAGTATTTGATAAAATAAAATATTCTTGTCACCTTTTATTTTAAAAAACTTTTGACATAGTTTTTTAGTATGTACGGAGTAATTTTTATATCTCATTGATATACCAATTTGTAAATAAAATGATTTTAAAAAGTAAGAAATTTTTCTTCGTAATCCGCAATTTGTAATCTATTTAGGGACGGGGGGGGGGGGGTATTTAATATATAATATATTAAATAATTAATATATTTAACAGTCCTATTCTTCACTTTTTATTTTTATGAAACTTAATAGAGATATGTTTTTGTTTTAATTTTTCAAAGTTAGTCTTGATGTAATTGGTAAAAATAGAATCTAACAAGTATATTTATAGTGAATATATATGATGCGATAACTAGAATATGAATGAGTAGGTGTAAAGATAATTTTTTAACAAAAAAATGAAATTTTTTAGGAAAGGAAAAAAGTGAAAGAAAAAATGTTTTATGAGGGAGGGAGCGCTAGAAATCCTAAATAAATTTTCAGAATTTATTTTTTCCATCCCAATCCATTGTGTGGTTGGTGAGAAAATGGTGAAGAAGAACAAAAGGAGATGAGAAAATCCAATACAATTTCTCTTTAGATGGAAGGAATAATGAGAGAAAAGAAAAAAGCTTGTGTGAGAGACATGCTAAAAAATTTCTAATCAACAAAGATGGAAAAAAAGAAAAGGATTAAAGTAGGGGTAAAATATTGAAAATGTACCAGAATACGAGTCCCGTATTTTTATTCTTGAAATAGGAGTTAAAGTACATTTATATTACCAATCATAATCATGTCTATTATAAAAAAATTTAATAAAATGTTCATGTATAGTGTCACATTATCAAAATGCAAATTTTTATTTCAAGAATAAAATATGAAAATTTTATTTTGATATTTTTTTTAATATTTTTTACTCTTATTTAGATTAATTTTCTTATGATAAAGTTGTAATAAAAAAAAGTAAAATGTCCAAACAACCCATAAAAAGGAGAGAGAGAGAGAGGTCCCCACTTTTTCGTGCATGGAATCCCCAGTAACAAACTCTTTTTGCAGTAACAACAAATTCCCAATTCCGTCTCCTCAAGACATCAACCCAAACTACTTTGTCGGGTTGGGCCCATCGAAAAATGGGTCCAAATTATTTACTCTATGCGTCCCAAAATATTCACAACATTTGTTTTTTTAGCAATTGCGGGAACTTTTGTTTATTTCTACGTTTTCATTGGTTATTTGATAAAATAAAATATTCTTGGCACCTCTTATTTCGAAGAACTTTTCATGTAGTTTTTTGATATGTAAATTTTATTTTTTATTTCTATATCAATATGTAAATAAAATGAATTGAAAAAAACTTGATATTTTCCCTCGGGAATACAAGTGTGGCAAATATTTAGGGACGGGGGAGTATAACATTGGAATCAATGTCATGTGATGATCAAGGGCGCTCCGGTGTCCCGTTTATAAAATTAGAAATCATCTTAAATAGGACTAAAACATAGAAAAAAGTACCAAAATAGGACTTTCATGTTTTTTTTCCCAGAATAGGACTTTGCACTGTGGTAATGTGACTTTGCATTGTGGTAATGTGGCAGTGTACATGTTTGGTAATGTAAGTCCTATTTCGGGAGTAAAAACATGGAAGTCCTATTTTGGTATATTTTTAATGTTTTAGTCCTAGTTTGGTCTTTCTCCTACCCTTACCTAGCCCCGACACGAACACCCCACACCTCCTTCAATTGCACCCCACAAGTTGATTTTGACTTTAGAATCAAAATTGAAGGGGGTGGGGGGTGTATTCGGGCTGGGGCCGGGTGGAGGGTTTACCGGGGCGGTTAGGAGATAGAAACCGTCAATTTTGTGAACGGGACACCAGAGCACTCCCCGATCATTCCATGACATTAAGGTCCAATGTCACTTGAACATCGGTGTTGTTTGTTTGTTGGAGTAAATGTTTTTTTCAGTAAAATTTTCAAAATGGTTCTTCTAATAAGTGTTTTTCAAATAGTTTTCAAAAAACAATAATTATCAATGTGATCCTTTGTAATTCAGATGTATTTTCCTATATAGTCCTCTATCCAATGTGGTCCTTTTTCAAAGTTCTTCTATTCCAAAATGTTTGGTACTTTTCGCAAAACAAAATGAGAACAATTCTAATTATTATAAGTAAAAATTCAAGTTTGCAATTCATCTAATTTATATATCGACATAAAATAAAAAATAAAATTTACATACTTATAAATTATCTTAAAATGTCACAAGAACATTGAAAACACACAAAAATACAAAAAAAATCAACTTTGATTTTTGAACAATGAAGTGTCAATACTCCCTCCGTCCCAAGACATACTCCCTCCGTCTCACATTTGCTTTTTCAGTAGCCGTGAAAATTTTTGTTTATTTTTACGCTTTTATTGATTATTTGATAAAATAAAAAATTCTTGACACCTCTTTTTTTGAAAAAATTTTAATGTAGTTTTTTAATATGTAAATTTTATTTTTTATTTCTAAACCAATATGTAAATAAAATGAATTGAAAAAATTTAATATTTTTTCTCAATGATAAAAGTGTGACAAATATTTAGGGACGAAGGAAGTATATTTTTGAGATGAAAAGGGCACTATAAATATGGGTGTGACCTATTAACCTCCAAATCTCTGAAACAAAAGCATCTCCATTCCATTTCAAGACCCACCATTCTCTGCTCCTCTCTGCAACAATAAAACTGAAAAGACAGAGAGAGAGATTCTCACTCTTTCTTCATCAGGTTGGTTTTTATTTTTTTAATTTTTTTAATTCTCTCTATTTTTCGAACTTTTCTTTCTTTCTTCCTGCAAAAGTTCAGTGCTCACCTTTTTTTCTTGTTTGATGTGCCATTATTATTGATTTGCAGGGTTTCAGACAGAGACCCACCACAATCGGAGTCAAAGAAACAGTTTTTTTTGTTTGTTTCTTTTATAATCCGAGGAATTGGAAAGAAATGTATGTGGGAAGTGGTGATTGCTTCGATCCCACGGTGCCGGAGCAGGAAGACATCTTCCCTCAGAACTTCCGGCTGGAGGAAACGGAGGTAGAAGAAGAAGTCTCTGCGGCGGCGGCGGCCGCCATTGAAATGGAGTTTCAGCAGCAGCTCAATCTGGAAATGGAACAGTGCTACAACAACAACAACAACGGGGAAGATTGCGGTGATAATAGCCATAGCCACCATCACAATCTTTCCCAGTTTATCCAGAAACAGCCGGACGGGATGATTTTCAACACTAATCAAGGGATTTCGAATTGGGATGAGATGGTGTTCTCGGAAATGCAGAATTCCGGCAATCCGCCGCCGGCGGATCTGCTGGGCAACATATTCCCCCCTATGCCGAGGTCCTCCCCGCACCTCCTCCAAAACCCATCATTCTCCTCCAATTTCTTGACCTCGTTAGGCCTGTTCGGCGACCACCTCCTCCCGTCATCGGAAAACGGCGACCCGACCCTGTTGCCTCTGAATCTGCCACCACAGCCTCCCCTGCTGAGAGACCTGTTCCACTCGCTGCCGCCGCAGGGCGCCGGCGGGTGTTCTCTGTTCGGGGAGGTGGTGGACGAGAGGGGAGATCTGCAGGTGAACGGAGGAGGGTTCTACCAGGGGATGGACGGGAGGGATTTCGAGAATGGGGTTTTTGAGCTGAGTGGGGATTTGAATGGGTTGGGGAAGAACAGAGAAGGTAAGGGCACCAAACATTTTGCCACTGAGAGACAAAGGAGAGTCCATTTGAATGACAAGTATGAAGCTTTGAAGAGATTGGTCCCCAACCCAACCAAGGTACACTTTTACTCTTTCTTTCTTTCTTCCTCACTTTTCTTTTACCCAATCTTCCAAAAAGGTAAGAAACTTTTTCATTAGGGTTATGAAATTCATGAAAAAGATCAATGTTTAGTTGTTCACTTTTCCTTCTTGTTGCATTTTTGTCTTCATAAACAAGTTCTTGAAAACTATCAAGAATCTCAACAGTAGCATTAATTGCTGTCATCAATCAATGGTGGAGAATCTAATCAAAAGGAAATTTTTGTCACTTTGGCCTTAAATTTGACCTGTTTTACAATTACATACATATATATAATCGAACTTTTTTCACTTTTTTTTGTTTCTTTTTTTCATAATAACTCCAATAGAAATTCTTCTGAAAATTTGTGTTGGGTTGATGTTCAAAGAATGACAGAGCATCAGTGGTGCATGATGCCATAGAATACATAAATGAGCTGAAGAGGACAGTTGGGGAGCTGAAGATTCTGGTGGAGAAGAAGAGGTGCATGAGGGAGAGGATGAAGAGGCAGAGAACAGATGACACCAGTCACAACAATGGCGGCGGTGGCGGCGGCGGTGTGAAGGAGGAGGAGGATATGAAGGACCATTGCAATTCATCATACAATGGGAGTGGGTTGAGGAGTTCTTGGCTGCAGAGGAAGTCGAAGAACACGGAGGTGGACGTTCGGATCATCGACGACGAGGTGACAGTGAAGCTTGTGCAGCAGAAGAGAATCAACTGTCTTCTCTTTGTCTCCAAGGCTCTTGATGAGCTTCAGCTTGATCTCCACCATGTTGCTGGTGGCCTCATTGGTGATTACTATAGCTTCCTCTTCAACTCCAAGGTATTTTGTTTTGAAAAAAATGCTAGCTGCACACCGTTTTCGACACCACATTTGACACCAGTGACACGTTAAGAAAGATGGTGTCACGTGTTATGTCAAGTGTGGTGTCGAGTAGAATTAATCACTTGTTAACTCTTGCAACCAAACAGAGCCTTAGTGTGATTAATTATGTATAATGTACATACATATTTATATACAGATTTGTGAAGGTTCAACAGTGTATGCAAGTGCCATTGCCAATAAGCTTATTGAGGTTGTGGACAAGCATTATGCAGCCACTGCACCAACTAGCAGCTACTGATTATTATCTGGTAATTTATAATTTTCTCTTTTCTTCTTCTCTTTTTAATATAAAAATAATAATAATAATTATTGTTGTTTCAGGTTAATTGTTGGAGGATGCATGAATGGCCCTTAATTTGATGTGCTAATAACCCTTAATTAGCTCCATCAGAGAAAGATTGAATCATGACTTTCTTGAACCCTTAGAATAATAACCCATTGACTCGTCATCAGCCCAAAGTCATAGTTAAGGATGTTTAATTAGATGAACACAAGAATTGTGGGGACTTAGAATAATGTTAACATAATTGCACTATATCTAGTCATCAATGGTAATTTGGATGAATGTATGAGGATTTCCTTACTGGCAATTTGCATGGATGTTATTTTATATACTCCATATAAAATTTAAAAATTATATTTGTATATGAAATATTTAAAAATTATATCAAAAAGTTCTAATTTGGGGTATAAAACAAAGAGTGACATGACTGTATTATTTTATCAAGCTCCAACCTCAATCCTCCACCCATGTCAATTGCACCCCGTAAGTTTAGTTGACTTTAAAGTAAAAGAAATTGACTACAAAGTCAGATAAACTTAGGGGTGCAATTGACGTGAATGGGGAAATGCGATGAGGTCGGGACTGGATGAGAGAATTTTGCGAGGGGTTAACAATTAATTTTACATACGAAGTATCGTAAGTATCTGAATCGGGGCAGTGACTTCCGTGGCCACTGAAGAAGAGCGGCAATAGAATTGGCCGGTACCGAGTTTTATTATTATATTTACCCAACAACCATGCTACACTTACACCAAAAAGTGTATCCCAAAGATACACCAAGGTGGGCGCGGTCTGTGATGGTCCGTGATACTACCAGAACCTATCACGGACCGCTATTATTTAAACGATTCGGTATCGATACGGGATGAACTCCAAAACCATTCGGTACCATTCCGTTTTGAAACGGAACGGTACAATACCATACCCATGCTCAAACCGTGCCAAAAAAATGAATGTACATTACTTAAAAAATATTGATTTTAATGTATAAATTTGTATAAAAAAGCACAAGAATGTTAAATAGAAGTATTGATCTCAAATTTAAACGGATCATAAACATAAAGAATAAAAGATAACGTGTCCAAAGTTAAAAATTATTTTTTTTCCCAATTCATATAATATCAGTATACTAATAACTACGGAGTATAAAACAATAAATATAATAACAACAATAATAATGAGAGAGTTTAAAAACGAATAATAAAATACGAAGTACTCTATACACGATAAGATGAAGTAGACAAATACTCCATAATTAGTTGAGATATGTACTCTGTATATAGCGTTGGACGGTTCGGTCCGTGATAATCGGTTTTAAATATTTGTGTCACGGTCCTGTCCCATTTGGTATCGGTTCGATTTCGGTTCGTGATGAAAAAAATCAATCCCGTTTGAAAACACTATAAATGGTTCGGTATCATTACGGTCCGGTATGGTACCATGCTAGTTCGGTTTTTTTGTCCACCCTTACCAAAAGTATACACTAACATTTAAATAGTTCACACTGACACAAAATGTTGGTGCGTTAATAAAAATTTACACTAACATTTTGTGTCTGCATAAACTATTACTCTAGCATTACACTGACATAAAATGAAGGTATAAACATGCAGTGTATAAATTGGGATACAAATCTTAGGATACAAATAACTTAATCCTTTGCCCAATCTAAATGGCGGGGAAATCAACACAGCACATATTTGCAATGATGACAAATGAAGGGAAGCATATCCCTGCATAATGGTATCTCATTTGTTTCTTTTGTAGGATTAAGCTATGTGTACCCCAACATTTATACCTCAATTTGTACCTCGCAGGTTTGCACCAACATTTTGTGTTGATGTAAAACTAATTTTTGTTAACGCACCAACATTTGTGTTCGTGTAAATTTTTGTTAATGCACCAACACTTGTGTCGGTGTAAACCATCAAAATGTTTGTGCAAAACTGTAGTGTGCAAGTGGGGTACATTTTTTGGTGTAAGTGTAGCATGGTCTTCTTTCCTAAGGTAGAGTTCAGTTCAATACTGCCACACTTTTTCTTTCTTTCTTTTTTCTTTTGCAGTTCTTTTGTCTTTAATCATTTTTTTATATCAACAAGGAGGGCATAGGCTTAGATGTCTCTGACTAATTTTTGGTATCCTCTACTTGTTTAGTAAACCACTTTATCATCATGACAAGTCTCATTGACTTGGGAGTGAGTCAAAGTCAATTCAGATGTTATTTAAATATTGGTATAGAAATAAAAAATAAAACATACATATTTAAAAACTACACCAAAAGTTCAACAAAACAAGTGGTGACAAGAATATTTTATTTTATCATATAGGCCATGAAAAGACACAAATAAATATAAATTCCCGTGAAGTTGGAATAGTGCTCTGGGAAGATCATTATAGGACGGAGGGAGTATTTATCAAGAACACAATTCTATTTTCTCAAGATGGGTGACTTGCACAGTTGCACTCTCCCATTCATGTGAATTAACCATATTGGCTTGAGGGCTCGTTCAGGAAATTCCTAAAGTTATAATGGCTTTATGCAGGTCCATTGTTTTTCTAATTTATTCTTTGAGGGCATTTAACATATTCTACTGAATGGATTTGAATCCATGAAATTCCATCAAAATCTCACGGTATGTGTGAACTCTTTTTAATACAATAAAAAATATAAAATATAAAAAAAAATTAAACCACAAAATTCGTACGTCTCAAATTCAAATTCAAAACAATAAAAAGAGAAATTTTAAAAATAATAAATAAAAGGTCTTGTGCATTACTGTACACTCAATTCAAAGAGACTTTTACAAAATCTTTGCTGTGTAATATAATACTGCGTATTTTAAAAAACTACAAATTGCCACCAAACTCTTTGAAGGAAGAATATGCAGGGGACAAAAAAATGAATTCTATTCTATTGAACAGCCAAACGCTGGAGATGGTCCAAAAAGACTTCAAAACTAACATCATCAGTGAATATGATATCCCCTCCAGGAACAGGCGGGTTTTCCGAGTTGTACGTCGCCGAAGGATTCAACTTCGCAAGCAAAAACCTGGCCTGCATTCATAAAATTTCATGTTAAACATTCAACCAAAAGAAGATTTCGATCTCCAATAAACCTTTTAAAACAACAAACCCAGAATAATCTCACAGAAAAACAAAGGTTGAAAGTAAAAAGGTTGTTTCCAAGGGATTCCAGGCTCATATACAAAAGTACGGGCAAACAAACCGTAGTAGGACTAACAAAGTGCCGAGTTGAGGGACTTGGGATGATGAATTATACCTGGGACTTATGTTGATCACAAATGACCAGGCGAGGCACGGGGAATCTTTCCCGGATAATTGACTCTGCATCATCCCGTGGAGCTTTCAATAAGTGAGCGAATCCCTGTAAAATCGGAAAAGATTAAAGGTCACACGGCTTTAATATCACTGCCATTCACTAAAAAAAATTCTTTTTATTCTTTTATATGTGAGATATGGCATATATGAAAAACTCAAATAAAAGCATCCCACACAAGTTTAAGATATACTCGTACATGTTGTGGGATCTTGCTGGTTGTTGTCGTTGTGTGGCAGACATTTAAATTTAATCACAATAATTTCTTCAATAGTTATTGTTTATTTAGACAATATATAAAACTAATTATTTTTTTGTGATCCATAAAAATAGCATTAATAGACAATATAAATTTGGACGCACATGTTGCACAACAATTTGCACCTGATGCAAATGTTCGGGTCACAAAGATAAGGGCATAGTTGCAGTAATCCAATTGTATAAGTGATGTTTATCCCCGGAAAGATAACATATGAGCATTAAGGCTGAGTACCTGATGTTCTGGCTGTTCATGGTATCCAGCTTTTCGCCATTCAGCAATGGTTGATCCATGAAACACAACAATGGTAAAGTAGGAGTCCAAAAGAAGAATTCTGTCGGCGGCAATTGCGCCCACATCAAGAAGAACAGGTTCGGGCCCAGAGTGAAAAGAGTAGGAGATCAAAGACGGCTGAATCATCACAACAGAATTTGAAACATTCTCCCGGTTCAAAATCATCCTAAAAAAAGCTGTCTCGTCTGGGCTGTTCCCGAAGACCTAATAATAAGTTTTGAAACAATATATGTTCAGTGGATTACATATGATGGATGGATATAAAATTATAAATAAGAAAAATGTGTGGAATCTAAAACTATGAAAGGTAAAGCGCATATATATACCTGTACAAATTGAGAACGCCGTAGGTGAAAAAGGAACTGTGGGAATATTGAGAAACGAGGAGAGAGACTAAAAGATGAAGGACTGTCTTTTTGGTAGTCACCAAATCGGGAGCACATATGTATCAATGACTTATCCAGCCATCTTATAGGGTCAAATTCCGCCTGAACAATATATACATACATGTATACATAGTTGAGAAACCCCATAAATTAAAGAATTAACACCAAAATAATACTCCGTAATTGAACAAAACGAATAACACAAACTTTTACAGAAAGGCATACCTCAGTTTCCATTTTGAATGAAACTTGGCGAGCCATTACTACAGCAGCAGTCTCTTGATCAAATCCCGCAATTAGTTCCTAATACAGAGTTAAAATAAGCATTACAAAGCTTGTTTCTTTTTCGTTTTTTCAAAAATAAATGATATGCAATAATACTGAAATTTCTGATAAATAAATACATATAACAAAGCAGATGCAGCAGTGAATATTTGCCTGTATGCTTCCAGGTCCAGAAACCCATCTTCTTGAGAGGGAAGTAACACGAAGCCTCATCAGTCCATTTCTATGCTGATAACTGGTACACATCATTATCAAGTCAAATGTTTGATACTCAAACATGCACACATTGTGACATCGAACAATGGATAAGAAAATTCGTACTAAGTCAGGAACTGGAAAAAGAACTGTGTGTTTGCAGATTGAGCAATAGCATCTGGATTCTCCTTCTTGCTGATTTCAAATAATAAACATAAGGAAGTAGTTTTGTCAAGACCACACATCTTCCACGCTGTCGTATTTCCCTGGCCAATAGTAGTTTCAGAACAGAGAGGACCTTTCTGTGCAAAATAACACAGAAATTAAGACCTGCAAGAAGCTTATGCCAAACAGGCCTTTGCAAAATGGGAGTATACCTTCTCAAGTGATGCACATGGACCGATAACTCCATGAACTTTGATATCCTTTGAGCAGTTTATCTCAAAAATACCACTGCACACCATTAATACAAAAACTTGAACTAAAGCATT